CTCCAGCACAATTAGTAACCCCTCCCAAATACCATGCCCTCCCTCCCCGTTTCAATGGCAGCCAAAGCAGCAGCAAAGCAGAGGCTGACAGTTTTAGTCAGAATACTGTTTAATTTATATAGAACCAGATTATTAAAATAAAGGCATAAAATTTACATGGTACGTTACTCTGTGTAAGTACTTTGTTCTGCATCTAACATGTGCATCAATACTAGAAGAAATTTTAATTGATATATGCAAGATTATATAACTCCAGGTTTTCATCAGGACAGTGATATACTGGATCGGCGAAAACACTGCTTTGGAGTACAATCTGAAATGGGAGAGGATCTCTACTTCTCTGTGGAATTAGAATGTGATCTCATACTATGGGAAAAGGCCTTCCAATCAGCAACTTTTTTAGAAGTGGAGAGAATACAGGTAAGACGTATGGAATATTCTAATCATAAAGCTTCTAATAAGCTGGCCTTCTGATTAGCAAGCTAGTTGGATATGAAGTGGATAAAATGTTTGTTTGACAGATCCACATAAATGTTAGATGAATTTGTATTCAAAGAGTGTCCACTGATAGTTTAATCATCAATAGAAATAAATCATTAGAGGAAATGCCTTTGGAATTAGCAATTAGCCTTGTATTTTTCAACATTTTCATTCATGACTTGTATGAGGTAGATGGAAGACTTATAAAACTTGCAGATTATACAAATCTGAGTGAATTAGATAAAAATCTAGAAGACAGAGTGAATTAGAAGGAACTTCATGGGTTAGATAAGTGGCTGAAAACAGCAGAATTTAATTTAATAAGTTAAGAAGTTATTTATATAGGGGGGGAAATTAAATGCAAAGCTTTTGTATGGGAGATACTTAACTTTTTAATGGCACATAAAAACTTTGTAGAAATCACAAATTGAATACAATTTGGCACTGTGACTGTTAAAAAGGCAAATGCAAGTTTAGATTGAGAGCCAATTTAGTGGAGTGGCTAAATTATCAAGGCTATAAACTAGGGGGATTGTTAATTCGAATTTTGCCTTAAGCACAAAGCCAGTTGGATCTTGGGCCAGTCTTTTCTTTTCTCAGTACTAGAAAGGTGGCAATGGGCAAACCACGTCTGCAAAACCCTGCCAAGAAAAGTACAAGGACTTGTCCAAGCAGTTTCTGGGAATCAGATAAGATGAAAGGAAAAAAATAGATTGAAACAATAAAAGTGAGTTTCTAAATAATAGGGAATACTCATTCCATACCTGGTTGACCTTAGCTGATACCCAAAAAACTAAGCAGCTAAGAGAATTCCAGGGCTTTAAACTAGACTGGGGAATTAAGGGGAAAACAGAAATCAACACAGATTTCCTTCTGCATTGATCAGACTCTACCTCATCTACTCAACAGTCCTGATACAGAGAAAAGCAATGTAGGTTCAAGGGAATATAAACTCAATAAGGAGACATTGAGGGAATTAGAAAAGTTTACTCTCAAAAATAGCTAACAAAGGAGGATATGATAATACTTTTCAAATACCCTGAAAGGGAAAATACATAGAAAAAGGTAGCCTTTTATCTCAGAGTGCCAGATATAGCATAATTATTTAGGTTGTTACTGCAGGGCAATTAGTAAGTTGGAAAAACAATCTTAAATGTAAGAAATTTATGGGGGGGGGAATTAAAAAGAAGGTGGTGAGTTTCCCCTTGACTTATATATATTCGGGCAGAAAGTGAGCATGGTCGTTTTAATTTGGATTACTGCGCTAAGTAAGGGAATTGGGCTTGATGATTTAAATAACCCTTTCAAATCTCTAAATTGTTAATGTTATATTAATGACCTTTGCGTTAAAAAAGATTTAAATCAAATATGTATTAGCTAGTTCTTGCATCCCAAACCTTCAGATTATGAATGAGAGAGTTTGGGCTGCTTGATACACTCAAACAAACCAAATGACAAGTTGTGCTACTAACAGAGACGATGTGTTTTGTTTGTTTTATTAGATTTTATTGAGAATGGGAAAACAGGCTGTTCAGCAAGGCTTTTTATTTTCAGGAAAGTATTATGTGATAGACTTAAATCTCGGAAACTTACTGAAAGCTTACTGAATGACCTTGGGCAAGATATTATAAGGATAACTTACCTCACAAGATTGTTCTTGAACACAGTAATTGCTCTGAACCCATTATGTAACAGATAAAACTCAAGACAATAAAAATGAATAAAAAGAGCAGACTTCTGGGAAACAGAAGTCATTGAATTCAATTGATTTTAGTGTATTAGGGCAAGTAAACTTAAAGAGCCCATTTTTGAAATGGAAAGTAAACAAGCCTACTGGGCTACACAGAAACTCCTTTAAGTTTTTTTTCTTCCAATAGAGAATAATGTCCTCTTTTTTACCTAAACTTTTGAGAAGTATTCATATGCTCCAAGGTTAGGGGATGTATTGTGTAATCAACACTCTACATAAGAGTCTTGTCAAATCATATCTGGAAACATCACTAAGAAAAATTTCCCTGATCAATATATTTCATAGACATTTTTGTTTAATATGCAGTCAGCCAATGTTATGTCATATACTGTATGCCTCACCGGTTCCACCACAAAACCGCGTTCAACTAAAGCGCGCTCGACGAAACCGCGTACCTGATGTCATCACAGCGCGACGAAAAAAGCACGCTGTGAGCGCTAAAGCTAAAATTAACCCCGAAACTGAAACCTAACCCTAAACCTAACCCTTAACCTAACCCTAAACCTAACCCTAACCCTTAACCTAACCCTAACCCTTAACCTAACCCTAAACCTAATCCTTACCCTAAACCTAACCCTTACCTTAAGTTGAATCTGCTTTCTTTCAACA